TGTTGCCCGGCCTGATCTCAAACTCCTCAAACTCAAACTCAAAAGCTATCCTCTGGCCAAGTCCTTCCAAAGTGCTGAGATCACAGGCGTGACCTGCCGCGCCCGGCCTAAGTCCCTATTTCTCTTTCCAGGCTTCCTAAGTTCATTTAAAGCCTAATTTATCTATTAGTAATAACAGCTGACGAGTGGTGGCAGAGTGGACAGGTGTAATGGAGAGATGAAAAATGAACCTTCCCCTGTAATCCCAGCGCTTTGGGAGGCTGAGGCGGGAGGATCACGTGAAGCCAGGAATTTGAGACCAGCCTGGGCAACAAATTGAGACCCCATGTATCCAATTTTTGTGTGGGTTTTTTTTTAATGTGGTGTGGTGGCTTGTACCTGTGGTCCCTGCTACTCCAAAGGCTAAGGTAGGAGGATCACTTGAACCCAGGTTGAGGCTTCAGTGAGCTATGACTGCACCACTGCACTCCAGACTGGGTGATAGAGACCCTGTCTCTTAAAAAAAAAAAAAAAAAAATTAAAACAAATATTAAAAAATTAACCTGATAGGGGAAATTTTAAAAATCAGAAGCCTATGTCGGGCGCGGTGGCTCATGCCTGTAATCTCAGCATGTTGGGAGGCCGAGGCGGGCGGATTGCCTGAGGTCAAGAGTTCAAAACCAGTCCGGCCAACATGGTGAAACTCCGTGTCTACTAAAAATACAAAAAAGCCGTGCGTGGTGGCATGCGCCTGTAATTCTAACTACTCAGGAGGCTGAGGCAGGGGAATTGCTTGAACCAGGGAGGTGGAGGTTATAGTGAGCCGAGACCGTGCCACTGCACTCCAGCCTGGGTGACAAAGCAAGACTCTGTCTCAAAAAAAAAAAAAAAAAAAAATAGAAGCCTCAGGACATACTGGTAAAATTTCTCCCATAAGTATGACACACCTGGATTCAATTTACCTAAGCTTAATATATACCTACTTAGTTAGTGGGGATTGGGATGCAGTTATGATGGAAGCAGGCAGTGAATATACCTGCAGGTGCGTGTTTCTCCCCAAAAGCACACACACCCCAATCCAGCAAAACCAAATTGAGTCCCAGATAGATTGGGGAGGGGCTGAGCACTCTATAGAAAGGTGTTTCCTCTTCTTTAAGCTTGGTTCTTTTAAATAGCAGTTCTTGAAAATAGGATTCTCGGCCAGGCCCGGTGGCTCACGCCTGTCATCCCAGCACTTTGGGAGACCAAGGCAGGCAGATCACCTGAGGTCAGGAGTTCAAGACCAGCCTGGCCAACATGGTAAAACCCTGTCTCTACTAAAAAAATACAAATAGTAGCCAGGTGGTGTGGTGGCACACACCTGTAATCCCAGCTACTCAGGAGGCTGAGGCAGGAGAATCTCTTGAACCCGGTAGGTGGAGGTTGCCGTGAACAAAGATGGCTCCAGCCTGGGCAACAGAGCAAGACTCCATCTCAAAAAAATAAAAAAAAAAAAAAAAGAAGAAAAGAAAATAGGATTCTACAATAAAATCACTGCTGACACTGCTGCAGAAAGGCATTCCCTGCAGAAAAGAGAGGGTACAGTCATTTCCCCCCTATGGAAGTTTCTTCCTTGGTGGCTCCACGGTTCTGAACTCAACTCTGGTAGCACATCACAATACTTCAGAAGATTTTAGAAAGAAAGAGTTGCCCTAAACTGGAAACATACAAAAATTAGGGCCGGGAGCGGTGGCTCACGCCAGTAATCCCAGCACTTTGAGAGGCCAAGGCGGGTGGATCACAAAGTCAGGAGTTCGAGACCAGCCTGGCCAACATGGTGAAACCCCATCTCTACTAAAAAGAAGCTGAGTGAAAGGAGATATCCAGCATGATTCCATTCATATGAAACTCCAGAGCAAGCAAAACCAATGCAGACAATGCAGATTAGTGGATGTCTGGGGCTGGAGAGGGAGATGGAAATGGACTGGGAAGGGAGATAAGGAATGCTTTGGGATGATGGAAATGTGGCCATCCAGTCCGCTAGCCAGTGCACTCCAGCCCGGGTAACAGAGGAGACTCTGTCTCAAAAAAAACAAAAAAAGGTCAGGTGTGGTGGCTCATGCCTATAATGCCAGCACTTTGGGAGGCTGAGGGGGGAGGATCACTCGAGCCCAGGAGTTTAACATTAGCTTGGTGTGGCCGGGTGTGGTGGCTCACGCCTGTAATCCCAGCACTTTGGGAGGCCGAGGCGGGCGGATCACAAGGTCAGGAGATAGAGACCATCCTGGTTAATACGGTGAAACCCCGTCTCTACTAAAAATACAAGAAATTAGCCGGGCGTGTTGGCGGGCGCCTGTAGTCCCAGCTACTTGGGAGGCTGAGGCAGGAGAATGGCATGAACCCGGGAGGCGGAGCTTGCAGTGAGCCGAGATGGGGCCGCTGCACTCCAGCCTAGGCGACAGACAGAGCGAGACTCCGCCTCAAAAAAAAAAAAAAAGATTAGCCTGGGCAATAAAGGGTAACCCCATCTCTACAAAAAAATACAAAAATTAGCTGAGTATGGTGGCATGCACCTATAGCCCTAGCTACTTGGGGAGTTGAGGTGGGAGAGTCACTTGAGCCTGAGAGATCAAGCCTGCAATGAGTTTTGATCATGCCACTGCACTCCAGCCTGGGCGACAGAGTGTGACCCTGTCTCAAAAAAATATATGGATAGATGCCGAGTCCAGCCTGTGCGGCATAGCGAAACCTTGTCTCTAAATAACAATAATAATATAGATGCTCGGGCTCCACCAGAGACCAGTTATCAAATTATCTGGGCTGGGGTCTGGCCATCAGTATTACTTGAAAGTTTTCCAAGTGGTGGTCTGGGCGCCGTGGCTCACATCTGTAATCCCAGCACTTTGGGAGGCTGAGGCGGGCAGATCACAGGGTCAGGCGTTCGAGACCAAACTGACCAACATTGTGAAACCCCATCTTCACTAAAAATACAAAAATTAGCCAGGTGTAGTGGCGCATGCCAGTAATCCCAGTTACTCAGGACCGCGCCACTGCACTGTAGCCTGGACAACAGAGTAAGACTCTGCCTCAAAAAGAAAAAAAAAAAAGCAGGCCGGGCGCGGTGGCTCACGCCTGTAATCCCAGCACTTTGGGAGGCCGAGGCGGGCGGATCACAAGGTCATGAGATCGAGACCACAGTGAAACCCCGTCTCTACTAAAAATACAAAAAAATTAGCCGGACGCGGTGGCGGGCGCCTGTAGTCCCAGCTACTTAGGAGGCTGAGGCAGGAGAATGGCGTGAACCCGGGAGGCGGAGCTTGCAGTGAGCCGAGATCGCGCCACTGCACTCCAGCCTGAGCGACAGAGCGAGACTCTGTCTCAGGAAAAAAAAAAAAACAAACAAAAAAAAAGCAAAGTTCTTCAAGTGGTAATTATCTGTAGCCAGGGATGTAGGGATGTGAGCCACAGGACCCTCCCTGTCCTCAAGGGATAGGGATGAGGTTAGAGAACACCTGTGTACTTCTCTGTCCCTTCCTGGAAGAAGAGAGAAGAGGGAGTATCTAAAGGACAGTGAGAATGGGGGCAGGTGGGGCAAGAGCTCAGAGACTTAAGATCTTACCTTACTTTCCTCCTCCTTACCTCTTCCCCTTGGCTCATAGGGCTCCAGGTGGGGTCCTCTGGCCTAGAGGGAAGAAAAGGCTTAGGGTTTGGGAGTTGGAGCTGAAGACTATTCCCTCCCTCTCTCTACCCAGCCTCTCTGGGTGCACCTGGGAGCCCATGTCCTCCAAGGCTCAGGCTGTGGTAGGGTGCTGAGCACAAGCTCCCTGTAGTAACTCCAGGAGTTTGGCCAGAAAGAGGGGGACAGGTCTCTGGGGATGTCCTTCATAGGGCCGGCAACGGCCCTGGCTGGCCACTCACAGCTGGGACCCCAGAGCATCCAGCAGGTACTGTAGCTGCAACACAGCAGTTCCCACAGATGGTCCCTGCTCAGACCCAATCACAGATAGCTCCAACCTGAAGCAGCCTAGAGTCTCAGCAGGACACACAGTGGGGACAAAGTGGCCTGGTATCTATGGGTAAGGGCATAAGTCCAAGTCCCCACTCCCAAGGTTTCTTATCTGTGGCCTGGAACAAACCCCTTCACTTCTCTGGGCCTCTGTTTCCTCATTTGTAAGTAGGGCTCTGGATAATCCCAACCTTAAGGGCTGACACTATGCCATACTGTACTTATGTGCAAGTTAGAAAAAGATGCTCAGGGGGGAGGGGGGAGGGGGGAGGGATTGCATTGGGAGTTATACCTGATGTAAATGACGAGTTGATGGGTGTTGACGAGTTGATGGGTGCAGCACAGCAACATGGCACAAGTATACATATGTAACAAACCTGCACGTTATGCACATGTACCCTAGAACTTAAAGTATAATAATAATAATTAATTAATAAATAAAATAAAATAAAAAACTACAGAAGTACAAAAAAAAAAAGAAAAAGAAAAGAAAAAGACACTCAGCTGGGCACAGTGGCTCCTGCCTGTAATCCCAGCTCTTTGAGAGGCCAAGGCAGGAGGATCACTTAAGCCCAGGTGTCCAGACCAGCCTGGGCAACATAGTGACACCCCATATCTAAAAAAAAAAAAGGTCGGGCATGGTGGCTCACACTTGTAATCCCAGCACTTTGGGAGGTCGAGGCAGGTGGATCATGAGATCAAGAGATTGAGATCATCCTGACCAACATGGTGAAAACCCGTCTCTACTAAAAATACAAAAATTAGCTGGGCATGGTGGCGCATGCCTGTAGTCCCAGCTACTCGGGAGGCTGAGGCAGGAGAATCGCTTGAACCCAGGACGCAGAGGTAGCAGCAAGCAGAGATTGCGCCACTGCACTCCAGCTTGGTGACAGAGCAAGACTCCGTCTCAAAAAAAAAAAAAAATTAGCCATTCATAATGTCACGTACATGTGGTCCCAGCTACTCTCGAGGCTGAGGTGGGAGGATTGGTTGAGTCTAAAAGGTCGAGACTGCAGTGAGCTGTGATTGTGCCACTGCACTCCAGCCTGGGGGACAGAGCAAGACCCTGTCTCAAAAAAACAGAAAAGAAAAAGACCTTCCTTAAGTTCCTTCTACCTTCTAAGGCTTGATTTTATCAGAACAAGATACTTTACTGCCATCTGCTGGAAACCGACAAATACGCAAATCTACAATGTCCAGGCTGTGAATACAGTACCGCCTTTGTAGATGTGGGATCCTTATGCAGTGTACAACGTTCACATCCATACATGGCGGTCGTGTCTATCTTATAGGATTGGTGTAAAGAGTAAATAAGCTAACATACTTAAAGCATTTAAACCAATATCTGGCACAGAGTAAGCACTATTTACATGTAGCTGTAGTCATCATTTGTTATTATATGCCTCCCTATTCTAGGTATTGGAGACAGCGGTGACCAAAATATATCTGTCGAGACTAGGGGCTGGGTCAGGAGACAGTCCCACTACCTCCTCCCTGCAACATATTCATATGGTCACACAGCTACCCTCACACATGGAGACCACTGAATTCTCTCAAAACCTCCAACTGCAGAAAGAAGCAAATACAGTACTCACCGGAGATCATCTGGGGTGTAGAGGGTGTCATCATTTTTGTTTCCCTACAATTCAGGGGTAAGGAGGAGAATCAGATCTTGGAGGGAAAGAGGCTGACCCTTCCTCAAACACACCCCCTACCACGCCCCATCAATTGGCCCACCCCTGTCTGCTGGCTCTGCTCCCCACTCACTAGTATCTTCAGAGGGCTGCAAGGAAGTAAAAAGGCTCCCTGCAGCAGAGGGGCATTCCTAGGTCCCCCCAGGGCTGTACAAGCAGGAGGATGATCCACAGAAGCAACACCGGCACCTTGCTCACTCCCAGACATTCTCTGGTGCTTGACCTGGGGTTCTGGAAGACAGAGGTACAGGAAGGTGGAGCAGACTGGAGGACTGAAGTGGGTGAGGGGAACTCCCCCTCCACCTCCCCCCGCCATCCTATCCCGATTGTTCCACCCAAGCCACAGATAATTCAGGGAGTGTGCCCATAGAGGCTGGGGAAAGATGGTGACCCCAAAGTCGGGAGGGCCTAGGTCACAGCGCTCCCTGACTCCCAAGCTCAGGGACGATACAAGACTTAGCAAGAGTGTGAAGATCAATCTGGAGAGACCAGAGAACCTGAACTCCCCTACCCAACGGGCCCTTAAGACAGTGCAGGCTAGGCCAATAGCCTTGGCTCACACCTGTAATCCCAGAACCTTGGGAGGCTGAGGTGAGCTTGAGGTCAGGAGTTCAAGACCAGCCTGCCCAGCATGGTGAAACCCTGTCTCTACTAAAAAATACAAAAATTAGTGGCCAGACACAGTGGCTCACACCTGTAATCCCAGCACTTTGGGAGGCCGAGGCAAGTGGATCACCTGAGGTCAGGAGTTCAAGACCAGCCTGCCCAGCATGGTGAAACCCTGTCTCTACTAAAAAATACAAAAATTAGCTGGGCATGGTGGTGCATGCCTGTAATCCCAGCTACTCAGGAGGCTGACACAGGAGAACTGCTTGAACTCAGGAAACAGAGGTTGCAGTGAGCTGAGATCAAGCCACTGCCCTCCAGTCTGGGCGACAGAGCGAGACTCCATCTCAAAAAAAAAACAAAAATTGGCCAGGCACAGTGGCTCACGCTTATAATCCCAGCACTTTGGGAGGCCGAGGTGGGTGGATCATGAGGTCAGGAGATCAAGACCATCCTGGCTAAAACAGTGCAACTCGTCTCTACTAAAAATACAAAAAATTAGCTGGGCGTGGTGGTGGGTGCCTGTAGTCCCAGCTACTCCGGAGGCTGAGGCCGGAGAATAGCGTGAACCCAGGAGGCAGAGCTTGCAGTGAGCCGAGATCGCGCCACTGCACTCCAGCCTGGGTGACAGAACGAGACTCTGTCTCAAAAAAAAAAAAAAAAGGAAAAATTATTGGTCAAGTGTAGTAGCAGAGGCCCGTAATCTGGGCTACTCAGGAGGCTGAAGCAGAAGAATCTGTAATCTCAGCTACTCCAGAATCTGAAGCAGGAGAATCGCTTGAACCAGGGAGGCGGAGGTTGCAGTGAGCTCAGATTGCACCACTGCACTCCAGCCTGGATGACACAGCGAGACTCTATCTCAGGAAAAAAAAAAAAAAATAGACAGTACAGTTAGAGTGTGTGCATCCTCTCGTCTGCCTCTGTCTTCATTGGAAAACACCTGTGCTAGCCTTTATCTATGTCTAGGTGAATATTTGAGGTCTCAGCTCTCCTTTTTCATTTATTTAATTTTTGAGACAGAGTCTTGCTCTGTCACCCAGACTGGGGTGCAGTGGTGCCATCTCAGCTCACTGCAACCTCCACCTCCCGGGTTCAAGTGGTTCTCCTGCCTCAGCCTCCCTTGTAGCTGGGATACAGGTGCCTGCCACCATGCCCAGCTGATTTTTGTATTTTTAGTAGAGGCATGGTTTCACCATGTTGACCAGTCTGGTCTTGAATCCTGGGCTTGAGTGATCCTCCCGTTTTGGCCTCCCAAAGTCCTGGGATTATAGATGTGAGTCACTGCACCTGGCCTCTGTCTCAAGTATTTTGGAAACTTCATGCCTGCCTTTATCTCTTTTGTCTGAGGGTTGGCCTCTCTGCCTCTAACTCTGTCACTGGGCTTGTTTTGGGGGTCAATCTCTTGACTGTCCTGGTCTCTCCCTTTTCTCTTCCTCTTCTCCCTTGGCCCTTTCATCTTTCTCTTCTTCTCCACGTGTGCCTACGTTTCTCTCGGCTGTCTCTGTGTCCCTCCAGGTCAGACTCTAGGGACTTCCTTCCTCCCTCCTCACAGCCCCTCTCCTGCCTCACTCTTTTAAAGCTGGACTCCAGGCTGGATTTTCCCTCTGGCCCCAGACCTGCCCTCCAGTGTCTCCCTGTCTCCACCCTCTTTGGCAAAGTGTGCCACCACGTCCTTTTGAACCTTGGATCCCAGACCCTGTACTGCCAGAGAAACTGAGGCAACTGTGGGCTCCCTGTAGCCCTGAGAGAGGAATCTCTGGGCTGGGGAGAATCTTTATAGGGAGAGAGGCAGGGACATCTGCTGGCAGCCAGAGGACAACCCAAACCTGGGGTTCCTCAGGTGGGGTTGGAGAATTCTGTGGGGAGGAGGCCTAAGTGGAGGGTGATTTGGGGGAGAGGAAAAAGATGACTGGGAGATTCTGGAGAAAGAGATTCTAGGGGCCGGGCGCGGTGGCTCATGCCTGTAATCCCAGCACTCTGGGAAGCTGAGATGAGTGAATCACTTGAGGTCAGGAGTTCGAGACCAGTCTGGCCAATATGGTGAAACCCCGTCTCTACTAAAACTACAAAAATTAGCCAGGCGTGGTGGTACATGCCTGTAATCTCAACTACTCAAGAAGCTGAGGCACGAGAATCACTTTAACCCGGAAAGCAGAGGTTGCAGTGAACAGAGATCATGCCACTGCACTCCAGCCTGGGGGACAAAGCAGGACTCCGTCTCAAAAAAAAAAAAAAAAAAAAAAAAAAGATTCGGCCGGACGCGGTGGCTTGTGGCTCACGCCTGTAATCCCAACACTCTGGGAGGCTGAGATGAGTGGATCACTTGAGGTCAGGAGTTCGAGACCAGTCTGGCCAATATGGTGAAACCCCGTCTCTACTAAAAATACAAAAATTAGCCAGGTGTGGTGGTGGATGCCTGTAATTCCAGCTACTCAGGAGGCTAAGGCAGGAGAATCTCTCGAACCCGGGAGGCGGAGGTTGCAGTGAGACGAGATTGCGCCACTGCACTCCACCCTGGGCAACAAGAGCGAAACTCTGTCTCAAAAAAAAAAAAAAAAAAAAAAAAAAAAAAAAAGGTGGGGGGAGATTCTAGGGTTGGGACACAGAAGAGGTGAATTATTGGGGGAGGGTCTCTGAGGAGAGGGGAATTCTAAGGGGAGTAAAACTCCAGGGAAGGCAGTTGCTGGGAAGAGGAGTCTCGGAAGGGAAATAAATTCAGGAGAAAGGTAGATTTTGAGGGACGGGTCTCTGAGAGAGAAGTTTTTGTGGATTTGCGGGGCGGGGTGTTCTGGGAAAGGGGGACTTTCTGGGAAAGGGTGATTTTCTGGGAAAGGGGGATTTGCCGGGAAAGGGAGATTCTGGAGGAGGGAGATTCCAGAGGTACTGGGTCCTGACAAAAGGAAGATTCTGGCAAGGGTGACTGAGGGGACGAGGACCGAATGGAGGGAGATTCAGTGAAAAGGGGGGTCTAAGTTGAGCGCTCTTAAGAGGAACATTTGGGGTTGGCCTTCTGAGAGAAGGATGGGAAACATTCTGGGAAGAGGAGACTGAAAAAGGAAGAAAATTCTGGTGAAAAGGAGATTCTGAGGGGAGGGGGCTCTGAGGGGGAAAGGATTCTGGAGAGGATCCCCAAGGAGGGGGATTCTAGGGAGGACAGGATTCTGGAAGTCCTGAATCTGAGAATCCAGCCAGATTTCTTGCAGTAGATTCCAGAGGGAAGATTCTGATGCGGGGGATTCGGGGAAGAGTCCAGAGGGGAGAAAGCTAACAGGTAGTGGGAGGGTGGGAACAGATTTAAAGAAGGGACGAAGGGAGATTATTAAAGAGCCAGAACGCAAAGGAGAGCTGCGGCAATCGACAACTACCGAAGACGCGAAGGACATTCACGAAGCGTTCTCTTCAATCCGCACACTACACTCCCACGACCCGCCCCTTCCGCCCACAGAGCCCGCCACTTCCGCCTCACAGGGCACGCCCGCTCTGTGCTCCTAAGGGCCTTCCCGCGGCTGATCAGACGCCCCGCCCCTTAGCCGCAACAGAAGCCGTAAAGCTGTCTCCCGTCGCGACGCAGCGCTCAAGGCGCCTGCGCAGACCCTGAAAAGCGGCCAGGGTGGCCCCGAGCTTCCCTTTTCCGGTTGCAGCGCCGCGCGGTTAGCTTCTCTCGTTCACGCTCGCAGCCATGCCGTCCAAGGGCCCGCTGCAGTCGGTACAGGTCTTCGGACGCAAGGTGAGCTAGACGCCGGATGGGAAGGGGAGGGGAAGGAGAAGGTCAGGGTCTGGGAGAGGACGGTGGGCAGGAATACAGGGGGCAACATGGGAGCTGGAGCCCGAGCTCACGGGGCCACTCTCTCTTGTATCCCACAGAAGACAGCCACAGCGGTGGCGCACTGCAAACGCGGCAATGGTCTCATCAAGGTGAACGGGCGGCCCCTGGAGATGATTGAGCCGCGCACGCTACAATACAAGGTGCTGGCATCGGGCACCGGCGTTGGGTGGATGGAGGACTCTTGGAGATATAGTAGCCCGTGAAAGCTGAGGGGGCTGGTATCAGCAGCGGGATGTTTAGAAGTTATATTGGTTGTAGAAAAGTGGGGTATTTGGCAATAGAGCCGGGCTTGAGGTTCAGAAGATGTAAAAGCTGAGATGGGGGTGTTGAAGATTAAGGGGTTGCTTTGAAAACTGGAATGTTAGGAAGTTCATCTAACTGGGATGCGGGGGGACCCAAAGGGTGGAGGAACACCAGTTTCATAGCTTTATTTTCACGAAGATCAATGTTTTGATCCTGATAAACCCCAAGCGTCTAAAGGAGCGTTTAGACATTGTAAGTGGTCAGTAAGTATTGAAATAGCTTGAATTTGGGTCTGATTATTTTTTATTCTATTTATTTATTTGTTTTGAGAGGGAGTCTCGCTCTGTCGCCCAGGCTGGAGAGTGCAGTGGCACGATCTCGGATCGCTGCAACCTCCACCCTCCGGGTTCAAGCAATTCTCTTGCCTCAGCCTCCCGGGTGGCTGGGACTATAGGCGCACACCACCACGGCCGGCTAATTTTTGTATTTTCAGGAGAGACGTGGTTTCACCATGTCGGCCAGGCTGGTCTAGAACTCCTGACCAGCCTGGTGAGCCGCGCGGCCGAATTTGGGTCTGTTTAAATGCTTGCTTGTGAAAGGGGTTCTTCTGTTTCCTGTTTGGGACTCTCAGTTTCTTTGGCTCAGAATGGAAAGAAACCAGAGTCTGATTTCTGCCCCTTCTGAAGTTTACTACTTTTAAAAGGAAGAATATGTACATTGCAGGGTCAGTTAAAAAAATTTTTTGTTTTTAGATATGAGGTTCTTTTTTTAAGAACAGTATCTTGCTGTCACTCTCCCTGGAATGCAGTAGCACAATCCTAATGAACTTCGGCCTTGAATTTCTGAGTTGAAGATCCTTCCACCTCAGGCTCTCGGTTGCCAAGACTACAGGCACATCACCATGCCTGGCTCATTTCAGTAATTTTTTTTTGTAGACATGGTGTCTCACTTTGTTGCCCAGGCTGGTCCTTGATCTCAGGTGATCCTTCTGCCTGGACTGGGATTACAGATGTGACCACAATGCCTGGCCTTGAATTTAATAAAAATTCTGAGATTCCTTTGTATAGCAGATGTTGAATGTTATTATTGGCTGTCACTTTATTTGAAGGATTTGTATGTGTACCCTCTGTTGAGTTTTGGGGACATAGCAGTAATCCAGATGACTTCAGGTCTTCCTTCATGGACCTGCCAGCCTAGCTGGGGAGAAGGACTGGGCCTAATACCAGAAGCTGATCCAAAGTGGTCAGAACTGGGGAAGGAGACCTGTGAGCTGAAAGCAGGTAGAGAAAGTATCCAGACAGAGGCACTGGTAAAAGACCTAGAGCTAGCTGGGAAAGGTCTAGGGACAGGGACAGGTTGTATTGTATTGTAATTCTGGAAATTGGTGAGGCTCAAAGAAAAGGCAGAGAGCTCAGGTGGGAAATAGAAAAGGCACCTGAACAGTCCAGGGAATGGCTTTCGACTGTTTGCAACACCCTTGGGAGTTTCAGAAGCCACTGGTATTCTGCTTACTGTTCAGCCTTCTAAGAACCAGTCTTAGAGATAGGGTGTTTGAGGTCCGGTGAGGTACACAAGTAGGAGGGAGCCCAGATCTTGTTCCCTTTACCTTGCCTATGTTTCTTGCCACTTCAGCAGTCTCATAATCTGGCTTCTTTTACTTTTCTCTGTAGGGGGGCTCGGAGTGACACCCTGAGCCCCATCCACTAGTACTTTGAGGCCAGTGGTGGCAGAAGCCACAGAGACAAGGAGAAGCCCAGTGAGATGACCAAGTTGCCCAGCATGTAACTGAAATCCCTGTTCATTCCCCCTGTTCCTTTAGCTGCTGGAGCCAGTTCTGCTTCTCGGCAAGGAGCGATTTGCTGGTGTGGACATCCGTGTCCGTGTGAAGGGTGGTGGTCACGTGGCCCAGATTTATGGTGAGTCCCAGGAACTGGGCGCATAGGGGAGGTGGCTCTGGGAGGGAGGCCTTCACAGAACTCCTGTATCCTTTATATGTGTGTCTTCCTCACAGCTATCCGTCAGTCCATCTCCAAAGCCCTGGTGGCCTATTACCAGAAATGTGAGTGAGCATGGGTCATTCCCATGAGGTAGGTGGGTGTGTGGGGATCACGTCAAGGACTCTGATTATCTAAATCTTCGTCCCTACTCTTCTTGCCAGATGTGGATGAGGCTTCCAAGAAGGAGATCAAAGACATCCTCATCCAGTATGACCGGACCCTGCTGGTAGCTGATCCTCGTCGCTGCGAGTCCAAAAAGTTTGGAGGCCCTGGTGCCCGTGCTCGCTACCAGAAATCCTACCGATAAGCCCATCATGACTATCAAAATTCATCTGTATAATAAACAGTTTTTGAGGGATTTTAAAGTTTCAAGAACTGTGCGTGGCCTTATGTGTTGGTATCGGATGTTTAACCAGACAGAAATCAGTAAACATCCTCCATCTTTTGCCAGTCTGGATTTTAGCCCTCCCCGGAAGTGGTCACACTGGGCTTGGTGTGGATGGGTGGAGGCAGAAGGCAGGGGGTCTCTATCTCTATACCTCCCGTAGAGTCCAGTGTGCAGGCACAACTGAGATAGGAGTGGTTTGGGCCATTGGTGGCTGCAGACCTTGGTGGATATGTGGCTCATCCTTGTGGGTGTCTATTTTTTCAATCCCAGCCTCCCAAATATCTTTTTTTTTTTTTTTTTTTTTTTTTTGAGACGGAGTCTGGCTCTGTCGCCCGGGCTGGAGTGCAGTGGCCGGATCTCAGCTCACTGCAAGCTCCGCCCCCCGGGTTCCCGCCATTCTCCTGACTCAGCCTCCCGAGTAGCTGGGACTACAGGTGCCGCCACCACGCCCGGCTAGTTTTTTGTATTTTTTTTAGTAGAGACGGGGTTTCACCGTGTTCCCCAGGATGGTCTCAATCTCCTAACCTCGTGATCCGCCCGTCTCGGCCTCCCAAAGTGCTGGGATTACAGGCTTGAGCCACTGCGCCCGGCCCCAAATATCTTGGATTACAGGTATCCATGGGTTTCACTATATTTGGTCAGGCTGGTCTCAAACTCCTGACCTCAAGTGATCCACCTTCCTGGGCCTCCCAAAGTGCTGGAATTATAGGCAAGAGCCACCATGCCCAGCTGAATTTTTGTTTTTGTAGACAGGTCTCACTGTGTTGCTCAGGCCTGGTCATCTGAGCTCAGGCAGTCCTGCTGCCTCAGCTTCCCAATGTATCCCCAAGTTACAGGTACAAGCTACCATGCCTAGCCAATGATCTTTAATACAAAGGAAACAAGGAGAGCCCGGTGGGGTGGCTCACAACTGTAATCCCTCTGAGAGGCCAAGGCTGGTGGATCACCACAAGGTCAAGAGTTTGAGACCAGCCTGGCCAAGGTGGTAAAACCCCATCTCTATTAGAAATACAAAGATTCGCTGGGTGTGGTGGTGGATGCCTGTAATCCAGCTACTTGGGAGGCTGATTCAGAGAATTGCTTAAACAGGTGCCTGCCACCATGCCCAGCTAATTTTTTTGTATTTTTTTAGTAGAGTCAGGGTTTCACCATGTTGGCAAGGCTGGTCTCAAATTCCTGACCTCAGGTGATCCGCCCGCCTCGGCCTCCCGAAAGTAGTGGGATTACAGGCATGAGCCACCGTGCTGGGCTGGCAGCTTTCTCAATGGGGATCTAGGGACTTGGTCTGTTGATGACTACTGTGTAATAAGAGGCAGCATACAGTGAGTTCTCAGCTGCTACCACGAGTCCACTGTACCAGGCTACAGGGATCATAGAACATTTCTGTCACTGCAGAAAGTTCTGGGGAACAGCACTGGTAAACAGGGAACATATAGAAGTAAAAAGTTGCTTGTAGACAAAGTCACCTTTAGGTTTTCTCATTTTGTACAACAGGAAAGTAGAACCAGGAAGTTGCTTGCCCAAGGACACAGTAAAAAGTCAAAGTGGCTTTTTTTTTTTTTGAAACAGAGTCTCACTCTGTTGCCAGGCTGGAGTAGTGAGATCTTGGCTTACTGCAACCTCCACCTCCCTGGTTCAAGCGATTCTCCCTCAGCCTCCTGAGTAGCTGGGACTACAGGCATGTGCCACCATGCCCAGCGAATTTTTGTATTTTTAGTAGAGACGGGGTTCTACCATGTTGGCCAGGATGGTCTCAATCTCTTGACCTTGTGATCTGCCCACCTCGGCTTCCCAAAGTGTTGGGATTACAGACATGAACCACCGTGCAGGCCAGTTTTTGTGTTTTGTGTTTTGTTTTTGTTTTTTTTGAGACAGTCTCCCTCACCAAGGCTGCCCAGGTTGGGATGCGGTGGTGCCATCTTGGCTCACTGCAACCTCTGCCTCCTGGGTTCAAGTGACTCTCCTG